TCTTTCCCGCGCTCTCCTCCCCTTTTCTATCTATCTTTCTCTCTCTTTCTAAACTCGAGTTCAAAGTTACGCAAACTTCGTTTAGCTTCAATTTACTTCTACTAACATTTCTCTTTGCTGAATGTATCTTCTCACGGCTTGATGGTCCTGTTTCTTTCGTGGCAAAATTAGAGATTAAATTGTTCACGTAAACTGGATAAAATCTAACTAACGAAAGCATAATTGCCTTGCACACAGACTATCGCGGTACTGAATTGCTTTTTCCCCTAAATTCGCAACAAATATTGATTCAGTTTTTAAATGTTTTTATTATTTTGTCTTTTATAAGGTTTAAAAATAGCATTACTATATTTGGCCCTATTATATTCGTATGTTATTTTTATACAAAAAAAAATAATAATTGACGCATAAAAATGCACTACCAGTATTTTATATAATATTAAATATTCTCAAAATTTTTTATATTTAATACATCTTTTCTTTTTTGATTTTTTTTTTTATTCTCTAGAATCCTCCATCGAATTATGAGAACGTTGACTTATCATTTTCCTATCGGAAAAAGGATTGCACAGAATTAAGGTATACGAACATTTATCATATTTTATGAAAATCAATATATAGGTTCTTTCAAATTTGACAAATTAATAATTTTGAATTTTATCTTTGATAGACATATGGGAGCCTATACGTTACTTCATAAAAATATGTGGGAAGCGAATGAATTATGCAGGGAGCAATTATTCAGTCTTGCCATCGACAAACTTATAGCGTAATAATCATTTAGCTATAAATATATTCGTTGGGCTATAAATATATTTTGTAAGCTATATATTCGCGTAAACTATAGCAATCTCTATTTTTATATTAAGTTATAACTGTGCGTAAATATTCGGAGATTTCACGAACATTCTAAAGAGATTAAAACATTCGCCGCAAGTTAAATAAAACTCCGCGATATATATTATCAAAGTGTCTTTATCGTCTGACGAAAATCTCGACGGCTTTAATAATCTTACGACTTTTTTCGCTAAAGCAAATCTAGCTCGCGTTTGCTTGCAGGGGCAATAAGACATTCGACGGGATCATTATAGAGCAATTATGGTTCCAGTGTTATTACGCCCTCGTAAAGCACTATAATTTCCCGGTGCTGATGGGATTTTTAAGCGTAGGCAACTTGCCCTACGTAATGGATTCCGTAGGTAAGCATGCCGTGCAAGCCGAGGAGGTCGCACAATTTTATCGGCAGAAATTTTATTGTTTGCAAAAGTCGCTCAGGTCGGGGATACGACATGATTGTTTTTTTTTTTTTTTTTTTTTTTTTTTTTTACATTTATTCGAATCTAATAGCATAAATTTGAAAAGGATAAATAAATCTAAAAAATGGGTTGTAATAAAAAGGACAATGAATTTTTGAAAATTTTAATAGAGATGTGAATACCGTCTCGCAATGAGTTAAACACATGTTACGCAAGTAAGAAGTATAACCGAGCTACGAAATTGACGATGTATGTATCCGAACCACTTCATGAAGTGGCAAACTTTGCCTTCTCTCCGTCTAAGCAACTCTCTCGATTCATCGCGACGCGTGACGCTCTCAACTTTCGCTGTCGGTGTCAGTTTAGCACATTTAGGGCGGCGCGTCTAATTGGCGAGGAATTACCGAATTCCTTGCCAAGCTCATTTGCAGAAATAGCGTTTTGCCCGCAATTACTGTATTTTTTGTTGGACTCGCATCCCCATGGGGTAGCACGTCGACGAACGTCGTTACCGCGCACGGAAATTGACGTAAATCGTCGGTAAAGCAGAAAGTGCGAGCAATCGGAGACCAAATCTTCGCGGAAAAGGATAGATTACTCGGTAGTGCTTTAACTTGTACCGGTCCGACCCGAAGTACGATGGAGAAAAGGTGGCAAGGGACGACTCGACGCGACGCGACGCGACTCGCCATTCGATTTCTTTACCTCGACGTAATTGAAGATATCCGAAAGTACTCCTCCGGATAAACGTAATAGACCGTGAAATGGATCACCGTAGCTGTTACTGAAATATTTCAATTAAAGTCGAGCGAATTTTGAGAGAGCGTACTCCGCGGAGTAGAAACGTTTTTCATTGATTTGACCGAATCACCGGGTTTCTAAAAAAAGATATCCGAATATAGCATATTGAACTTCACTCTCTCTCTCTCTCTTGATTTGCGGGAATATTTATCGTGTCATAATTTTTATTCGGAAAAACACAATGAAATAAATTCGGAAAAAAACAATGAAAAAGTGTATAAAATATGAACAAATTTAAAAGCAGCACAGAACTCCGTAGAATTTAAGAAACACGTCATACTATAAAATATTTCTATTTTAATAATATATATACAGATCACGTGTACATATATATTCAAAAAACTCGATATTATATTTAAAATTTTTACACATTTCACAATTATAAAAATGTAGCTCTTTCTATATACAAATAGATAGAGTTAAATGTTTTCTACGGTTTTTATACACGTGATTTATATTATCGCAACAAAAATATTTTATTATACGATGCGGCTTTTAAATCCTATGTAGTTTTATTCACCAAAAAATGCCATTAATGCTTATATACGTTTGCAGGAAATCCAGACGATCCTAACTTGAATCCAGACATGGCGTATCCATTCACGGACAAAATGACAATCGTTGAACGTATACAGAATATCCTTTACACAACATGGACAAGATTATATTATCAGTACTGGCATTTACCAAGGGCTCAACGCATCGCTAACAAATGGTCGCCCGGTGTATCCGTTTATGATATTGATAAAAACTTCAGTCTGGTAATCTTGGGCAACAATCACGTGTTTGGTTATCCAAAACCATTACTGCCACATGTGATAGAAGTTCATAGTTTGCAAATTTCGGAAAAATCCGAATCCCTGCCCGAGGTAAAAATATACAATATTACAAAAAGATATCTATTATATCGCGTAAATATGAGATTACAACAGAAAAAAAATTTAGAGGATCATACAATAACAAAAAAGTAAAAGTAAAGCTAAATTACTAAATTATTTTCCAAAATAGCATGACACTAACGGAATTTAATTACACACAAAGTTACATTTATATCAATACAATGTAATCTCATCTTTCAATATAAGTGTAAAACCACCAAATATCCCTTTAATAGCAGATTTTATGGCTAACTTGATCAGTTTTTTTTTAGCAATTGAAAAAAAGAAGCTTTTCGTAAATTAAACTTTGTGGTATTAAAAGATAAACAAAACTACATTTTTTCAATTAATGTCAAGCTAAGTTTACTTTAAAAGAATTTAATTTGAGGCTTAGAATTACAAAGATATATCATTTAAAAAATTAAAAACTTGCAAACAGAATGATGACTTTTCTCGATGTTCTTATAAAAAAAAAAAAAAAAAAAAAAAAAAATCGATTCCAAGGCCAAAGAAAATGCTATTAAAACGACATTCGGTAGTATCGAAACATCTTATATTTTAAATGCAAAATTGTAGACACAATTAATATATTAACAATTGTCTTCTATATCTTCTATAGTTATTTTCACTTACTTCAAGCCACTTTTAATCGCGCGAATTTAGAGGGCAAAAATAGATTATAAAATAGAACCGAGCAATTTATAAAGTTAAGTACACTCTGGCATTTCAAAATTTATCTTTTATCTGAAAGTTATTATTTTTACATCGATTAAATCTTCGCTAGTAGTTCTAAATATGTCTCGGAAAGACGAAATAAGTGTATATATCGTACGAGAATGATTTCTCCCGAGGATATATATACTATTCTCACAGGTGACCAAGTAATAGTTGGCGAAAGTTTACCAACAACTCAACGCAACGACATAAAACGTCACTACTATTTACCGCAAACCGTTGTAAGTTTCCCAAGAGTTGGCAAGAAAAATATCATCAAAAGAATATTATGTTAAAAAAATCTTTTTCTCGCAGAAGAAAATAACTGCGGAATCGCTTCTATATAATATTACAGTAGCTGTTTGTGCTCTCTGATGTCCATATAGGAGCATATCGTTGAAAATATTTGTTTACAACAGCCATTTAATTCCAAGAGATTCAAGCCATGATGGACTAGATATATATATAAACGAATTATTCAATTACATTGAAAATGCGTGAGAAAATACATTTCATTTAATTTAAAACTGAACTGAAGTTTGATTGAAACGTTAGCCACATACACATTAATAATTTTATCTTGAATTTACAAATATATAATGAGATAAATTTGTAAACATTAAAAAAAATAATTGTAAAAATTGTACTTCAATAGAAGACAAGTTGTTAAATGTTTTAGCGGTTTTTTACCCCCAATGCAATTAAAGTTATCAAAGACTATTATTATGCGCGAGAAGACATAAGATAACTGCAGTTACCACGTGATTCCCGAATAATGTCGAGATGCGAAACGTGACCGCGGCAATGTATGTGTGCTCATCTTTATACAGATACACCAAAATGTATCGAAATCCATGAATAGTTGTAATTAATAGGGCGAAGCCTTCGGCTACACACTGTGCATATATGAAATTACCATCGCATGTTTGCCAGAAAAGCCAGCGCCAGGTTTCGCAATTAACAAAGGAAGTTGTATTATCAGTAATATCAGTCGTATTAATAGTACAATCGGTTCCATTTCCTAGCGTCGTAGCAATTGGTAACGTAATTTTGCAAATACCAAGAATAATTGCGAATAAATGTATTTTACTTTATAAAATAATAATGCTATTTTATATTATATATATGAGACAAAATATGACATTAAATTATTCTAATCACAAGAAAATGTAAATACAGTTCATTAAGCAATAAAAAGCGAGCTATATGCCTTATATGTTAAATATTTCTGTCTTTGTCTTAGAAACTTTTTTATTCATAGTTGAACGTAACGACACAATAAACAAAAAAATAGGCGTAAAATCTCAATAAAAAATTAATCATGGCACTATTAAGTAATCCAATTCAAGCATATACAATATAGTAAAAAATATTTTCAACTTTTTTTAATACTTGTTAAATACGATATATTGTACTTTAGCCTAAAAATATATGGCATTTCTTGTATTTATCGTCGTATCTACCATATTTCTTTAAAATCTATCTTATTTGCCCTTTATTAAGATGTATCGAAATTTTCATTCTGATTTTAGGAGATCCGGGAATTTCTGGACAACGCACGGGATGGTGCCATTTATTTCTCTCTGGGTTCGAATCTACAAACTCACCAGCTACCCGCCGGGCCTTTGACCGCATTGTGCAACGCCCTGGGTTCGCTCAAGCAAAGAGTTCTATTGAAACATGACGGGTACATGGCCATTCATCCGACCAACGTCAAATTTGTGAAGTGGGCGCCCCAGCAAGCGGTCCTCGGTAAGACTGCCTAAGGCTAAACTGACCACCTCTTTACCTCGTTCTCTTCGAAAGAAGCGGATCAACCGCCACAAAATATGCATTCACAAAGCGTTTCGATGAGAAGTATTTTATCTCGAAATTTCTTTGTGCATGCAAATAGGAAATCAATAAGATTACGAGAAGGATAGACCGTGAAAATTTACCTCGCACAATCTTATTTCAATTCTTTATCTTTATCTCTTCCTCCCTCCTCTCTCTCTTTCTTTCTCTCTCTCTCTCTCTCTCTCTCTCTCTCNTTAATAATAAATGCTTCATCGAATTCGAGAAGCGCTTTGTCTATCGCTTCCTTAGAAAAAATTTTAAAAAATGTCAACATAATTGTTGCAACTTTTTGATATTTAATAATAACAACACACACACACACACACACACACAAAATAATATATTGCCTACTATCATCATAATCAGATATCATTTTAACTTCGGAAAAAGTAAATTTAAAGTAATATATTGTGATCTGTTATATCTTTAATTACTTCTTTCAAAAATTTTATGTCCATACAAAATTTAAAAATTAATTAATTAATTAGTAAAAATTAATTAATTAGTATTTAAATTAATTATAGCATTTAATTATTAAAATTAAGAAGAGGAATTGTGAATTCTATTCTATATATATTCTTTTCTCAAAAATATTTTTAAACATGTTATCGCATCAATATAGTAGTAAACATCATTAATCAATTCAACCATCGTTAATCGCAAACGGTAAACACTGACAATGAGACCACCTTACTAACTTTACTGGAATGTACCGGAACTTTTCTAGCATGAGCGAAATGCAAAATTCCAACTTAATTGTTTGATAACGATCTCGTAAGAACCTCGTATATTGCCAAAGTGCTCGACTGCTCGTTCTGCTATTATACTGTAAACGAGTTGGGAAACTTATACTTGGACCGTTAACGATTATACTCTTATTTCATTAATATATACAACCGCCCGGATTCGCCGTCCTTCGCGGATTCGTTAAGTAGAATTCAGCGTAACAAAGACTGGAATAATAACAACGACGATCAACTATTGCGTACAAACATTCAACAAAGCTGCATTTTTTACGGTATCATCTACAAAAAAAATATTTTCCTCGACTAGATACAATATTCTTTAGACATAATCTTATTTATAGTCTGGAATCTTTAAATGATTCAAAGTTAATTACACGATCATATTCGCGGTATTTTTGGTATCGTTTGACGCAAAGGACGGAATAAGTTTTTCTTTAGATCGGAAAACACGCGACTGGATTTCAACCGAACAAAGTCTCGACGATCGAAATGATCATCAAAGCCGTCTCTCTTTCTCTTTCTCTCTCGATCGAGATCGAAATCGTGTTACTCGGCCGTTTAAATTCGACCAACGTTTGCCTTTCTCTCTCACGGCACATCAAAGAGGAAAGTAACGTGGAAATATACATAAGAAAAGCTGATACACATGTCGATACCAGGACTCTCTTTCGCGCCTTTGGAAGAGCGAAATCCACTATTTTTGTGAAATCCGCTTAAAGATAAGTATTGAAACAAACAAAAAAAAAAAAAGAAAAATTGCCAGCAACACCGTCGCGACTAAGGAAAATACGGCCACGAGCTCGTATAGCGGAACGATAACTCATGACGCATGCAGCGGTGAAATTCTCGCGGGAAATTCTGACAAACAACTCCTGTTGGCAGTAACGCAACGGGCTCGATGCAAATGCACAAGCGTGCACAAAGTTTTATACACATTGATAGACAGGCAATGGTAGCCTCCATGAAGAACATAATGTTGAAAATGTGTATTGGTAAGTGAAAGAAATGACGCAATTATAAAAGAACGTCAGAAAGAATTTTCGACATATAACGACTCTTATTCTTTTGACACATGTGTCCATGTTCAAATAAAATATATCGACTTCTGCGATATTTTATTTGATATGATAAAAAAAATTTTTAATCTAATTTTAATAAAAGATTTTTTTACTTAAATTTAAATAAATGATAAAATTTTATTGTTTTTAATTTAGAAAAACTTGATTACGTCAGAGAAAATTCTCCGTTACCATTTTTTTTAAATTTTGAGATTTATATATACATATATATTGAAACAGAATAGAACGAATAATTATATAACTGTCGCGCACAAATTTTCCGTAAGAGGTAAAATATGTTTTTCTGATTGGGAAGTGTATCGCGTTATGTGTAACGAAAAAAAAAAATAAAAAAAAATCTCGCTCCGGCATTCGTGAGCGCAAAAAAAGTGCACATCGGACAGAATTCGTCGGAAATTTCCCGCGCGCGTTAATACTCGAACACGATCAATCGGCCGTAAAGAGCGACGCGAAAAAAATAAATACGACAATACGGACATTTTTATGAAATCTCGCGTCTATCTCTCGTGGTAGCTCGCGATTAACCGTTGCTGGAACTTTGTTTCACCTCTCGTCGCTCTTTTTCTCTTTACCCCCCTTTTTTTTTTTCGTCGCACGCTTTTTTTCATACTGTCCCTCACGCAATTCGCCCTACCGCTCGTAAATGCTCGGCGGCAAATAATCCGTGAAGCATCATTTTACGATACTTTATGTACTTACGCCGCTTTTACATTATATATACATATATGCAGCGCATCCCAGGGTGATGGCGTACGTGATGCAGGGCGGATTGCAGTCGTTGCAAGAGGCAGTACACTATTCCGTACCGGTAGTCGCAATTCCCTTTTTCGGGGATCAACTTTTCAACGCACGTAAAATCCTAGACGCCGGTATCGGACTGACACTGGACATCGACACCATGACCGAGAGCTCTATCGTACAAACGCTCCGAGAGATCGTCGAAAATAAAACGTGAGTCTGAACATGGTTCTAACACAGAATTGCTTCGACAATGTAATCCTTCAAAAATTAATCCCTATAGGACTTTGTCATATTTAATCGCTATTCTTGAACCTGCATACATGGTAGATATGTGTCTAAAAAGTTAAGTACTTAAAATCTGCACGATTGTTAAATTATTTTTTACGCAAATTAGCACAAATTATATAATCTCCAAATTTTGCAATTATGTAATAATTATATGATAATATTTTAATATTAGTTACAACTTTTGAAAATATATCAATGTGCTTTTAAATTCTAATTTTAAAAAATACGATTAATATGCTATATTTTGTAAAAATTCTAATTACAGATATCTGAATAATATCAAAACAATGTCGGCAATTGTGAAAGACGAACTAATAAAACCAATGGAGATAGCAGTGTGGAATGTAGAGCACGTATTAAAATTTCCAAATTCGAGACATTTACGGTATCACGGACGTGATATGTCATGGATAGATTATTATGCAGCATATCTGTATCTGAGTGGGGGTCTCGCTCTTTTATTATATATCGGTTATATATTGAATATGAAAAATATTGGCATTTTTATTAAAAGCAAATGGATAAATGTCTTGAAACGAAAACTTGATTAATAATGCAAATTTACAATAATAATTAATAGAATAAAAATTGATTATATGCAGACAATAAGAGTTGATATTTTATTATACATAAAATTACTTTTATGTAATGCTTACAATAAAATATATGTAACATTTTATTGGCATTAAATTATATGTTTCTTTGATTTTTATTTAACATTATTATACATGTATACTTCTATCTACCATTTATATATATAAAAAGGCTTTCAAAATATTTCTTAAACATAATATTTATCGAATACTTCGTGGAATTTTTTTCGTGTTTATTATAATAATTATGATTGAAAAAGTATTCACATATCCAAATTAAATGAATTAAAATTGATGGTAATACAAGGAATAGATTAATTCTCCTAACTGCAAGTATTACATATATCATTCTCGCTATATTTTGAATTATGATGATAAAGTAAATGCACAAAATATCGATAAAGTTATTTACCAACATCGATATGTACAGTCGATAATTCAGAAAGTTAGAAATCTGTAATTATAATTATAATTATCGACTATAATAATAGTTATCAGCGAATGATGGTAAAACAGAACTTCTAAATTCAATTGTACAAAGTATGTAACGGACAAAATCGAATTATTTGATTCATCATGTATTACATATATCAATGTTAAATAAAAATTTCTTAATAATCATTCAGTTAGATATTAAAAAAGGCACATATTATCTTTCGATAAGCCTTTTGAACTCATTTATTTTACTTTATCTTTTTTTCTCGTTAATTTCTATATTTTATTACCGAATATTATTTAAACATTTACTTGGTTTCAAGTAAAGATGCCTTTCGATTGATAGTATCAAAAATATACTTTGCAACCCCTTTGTAAAAAATATGGTAGTAATGCACGAATAATCATTAAATTAACATTGTAGCACAATATAAATAAAAAGTATTCCAATTTATCTACATACCCTATCGCAAAATGTAGACAAATTTCATCAAACTCCAGTAACTCCGAAAGCCATCCCCTCGAGCTGCGATTTCCTCGACGATTCACACACACTCGCGACACGATATTCACGCGGCACATTCTTCTAATCTTACAATATTCTGATATTTTGTAACTAAGTAAGGCTATAAAAGATCGTAATAGCTCAAAAAATCACTTCGATTCGATTAATTTCAACGACAATTACGCGTAACGGATCCCGAGATCCGAACGACGAAACACCGCACTTTCGACTAAAGTTTTAACCGTTTTGAATTTTTAGATATACTTGTTTGACCAATCGGAGCGAAGAAACTTTTGCGCCTTTTGTCCTGATTGGCCAGGCTTTGATTAGCCAATCCGAGCAAAGTGATTTTTGCCTTATTCGTTCTGATTGGTTAATCAAACGACCAGAAGCACTTGCAACGTCTAATGTGGCGTCCTCTCGCGCATCTGCTCTACACTACACTGATGCACATTAAAGTCTGTTTTACATCAGTTTAAAGAAGACGTTATTTAAATGTAAAAATATAATGTAAAACATTTTAGCCGATTAAATGGCTAATATTGATATTATTGTATTATTTAACGGAATATATATTGATTATTTTATCTTTAAAATGCTTATGTATATTATATTTACATTTATGTTGAGATAACGTTGTACAGCAGTCTTTATCATGCACCAGAGTTTGTCAGGTGTAGTCAGGTAACAGAATTCGCTAAAAGGATGCAAATCAAAGCCGTAAATGATTTTTTATATTTTTAGTCACATTTTGTAATACATAAACATTTATAACGCTGTTATAAATATTTATTATCTTCAGTAAAACAAGAGTGTAATGCCATTGAAGGTTTGATTACAACACGAACAATCTTGGATAAATAATTTTAATAAATATTCTCTGTTATATTTTTTTGCCTACGTGCTTGGATAGTTTGCGAAAAAGAATTTTATTTTTGACCTTTTTGAAAATGCAAACAAATATGATGTTATGAAAATTTGAAGCTGTGTATAATTGTGCCAAGTTCGTGTGTTTGACGGTTCCTTGAATTTTTTTTATGAGAATATAAGTGAGAATAATACAATTTTTATACACACAATGACTACATTAAGCGGCTTTATAGAATTCTTCCAGAAAGGAAAGGTAAAAACAGTAATTATTAGACGATTAAATTTTAAGCTAATCTAAAATATTGATTTCTTATAACTTGTAATAACCTATATGTCAATTGCCTCTATAATATTACTTAATTTTTAAGTTTACGATATATAATATGCGTTATAAAATGTATTCTAAAAACACAGAAGGAATCAATTTTTATTCTTATACAAATATTAGAAATGTATTCATATATATATAACCCACATTAAGATATTTTCATATACATTTTAATTGCAGACATTTAGACCGAAAAAGAAATTTGCTCATGGAACATTACGTTATTCTTTATATAAACAAGCTCAAGCTTCCCTTAGTTCTGGTATCAATTTAAGAGCTGTTGTAAAATTACCACCTGGAGAAGATTTAAATGATTGGATTGCTGTTCATGGTACATAAAATATTTAATAATAGTCTAAAGATTTGTTATTATTATATATATGTTTTATTGAAAATGGAGATGTATGTGTGTGTGTATATTGTTGCGTAATGCTTATTCTCATATCATATTATACTTGATTAGAAAAATATCTCAAATCTGCTTCAATCCTACTTTTCATTTATATATTGAAAAAATGACAATAATTATTTACTTTTTTTTCTAGTTGTGGACTTTTTTAATAGAATAAATCTTATATATGGTACTGTATCTGAGTATTGTGATTCAGCATCATGTCCAGCAATGAGCGGTGGAGCACGTTTTGAATATTTGTGGGCAGATGGTGAAAAATATAAAAAGCCAACAGCATTACCAGCACCGCAATATGTTTCTCTTCTTATGGATTGGATTGAAGCTCAAATTAATAATGAAACAGTTTTTCCAGTATCAACAGGTTGTTACATTTATCTTATATTTATAGCATTGTTTAATAATAATCTTATTTTATCAGAATATATAAAAGCGAATGTTTTTTTTTTTTTTTTTTTTTTTTTTTTTATTTTCCCAAGAAAATATATTATATAATTATGAATATATTATATACAACATGAGAGTTATACGCTAAAAGAATAGTCATAGATGCAATACTTCATAAATTTTTCTTATATTCTGTGGAATTATTTTCAAAATTATAACAATTGGTATACTAATATTAAATTTAATATACTATTTAGATCATTGTAGTCCAAACACAAATCTCAAATATTTCTTTGTTGATATTTAAATGTTTAACTTTGAAAGAATATGTTGTCAAATTTCTACGTTTCTAGTCTTTTAGTTTAATATTTTTCCTGCATTAAAATAAGAAATTGATAATTAGATCTTAGATATTATAATTTCTTATAACATTTTAAAAGTTAATTATTTATATTTTATATTAAAGAGGGGGGGGGA